GTTGTTGATTTTAAATTCTCGCATTATTTTTCAAAATTTCCATCTTCTAATTTCCAGCCACTATCAAATTAAAACTTATTATATGAAAGCAAACAAAGATTCAAAAATATTTTGTTTCCATAACAGACGTCCAGAGTATGCTACTTTTTCGTGCATCAGAAACATCCCACTCAACTGCAGTTTAAATTATCTGTAACTCTAAAATCAGAATTTATAGCGATTAGAATTGATCCAGCAACAGCACTACGCTTACAAGTTTGACATATTCGCGTACTGGCTAATCTCCACCTTTCCTTTCTATTCGTGACTTGTCTCACTTATTAAGCGCAAAATTTTTCCCTTCCAATAATATACTAAAGTCGGTATGACTTTATCGTCTAACATTTATACAGTTTGAGCAAGATATTCACCTTGTTCGATTCCAGGCTATCGCCTTGTCTTAATTTCATCGGATCGACTTCGCAACACTTACGTTCATTATAAATCTGTAATTAAATGATTAAACGAAAGCGAATGCTCATAAAATCCGATGGTCAACATTTTTTTGATGGTCATTCTTTACTGCGATCGAAAATTCTGCCAAATGTATCTTTTTTTAGGTCATCCGCAACACTCCTTCACACAGAGAAATCTGTAGACCATGATTATAGAGATTATTAGGGATAATGCTGGAAATCTCCTAGAAAATCCGGGTCAGAGGCATTTTTCATCGCTGTGCAGAATTTAATCAGAGTTTGGGAGATACTAAGTACGCTTTTTGCTAGTAGGCTTTACAGACATAAACTGCTTTCAGCAGAATCGCCACCAAAATAACGCGAGGTGTTTTAACTAACAATATATAAACAAAAAATAGTCTCAAGATCTGGCTAGTTCTTGGACCCAAAAAGCAAACCGTAAGGCAGTCAAAGTAAAATCGATGGAGAAGGAAGCAATAAATGAGAAAATTGGAGCTGAAAGTAACCATATCAATAACAGGCTTAATCGAGATCACAAGATAATGATGTCCATAAAATTTCATCTGCTCGTGGATCACTTTTGTTGCCAACGACTGACTCCGAAATAATGTATTCACGTCTCTGAAAATATTATACTTTCAACAATTTTCATTAACTCTCTGCTATTAAATCACTTATTTTCAAAATTGTTCAACTGTTTGGCCATTCCTCCACAAAGCGAAGCGAAACCTCAAGGAGTATAAAATTTTAATTCTCATCTCTAAAACTGTTAGAATCCTTAAAGATCATAACCTTAGAGAAGTATTTCTTTCAGCTTTTTTTTGACTTCAAAGATCCGAATTGTCTCGTTCCTAAATAAAAGCAACTTACTGGCATTTAAGGATGTCACTGGAGCATAGAACTCTGAGCAGTGGGCGTATTAACTCCGCCTGTACAAAAATCTTCATTAGCGGTCGCGCTATCCTTGCTGTATCCACCTGAAGCAAACAG